GCTACATTATTATTGCAACTCACTATCCATCAAGAAAGATCCAGTGCCACTCCCTTACTTAATGTCAAACATGACTATTGTTCTCTGTGGGACTATCTCTGGCAGTGGGCATCCTCTGCTGTCATCTGCATAACTTTTGTATGTACTTCAGGTACTCTGGAATTGTGTTAGGTCAATGGTTGGACTAGATGATCTCAGAGGTCTATTCCAACCTAATGGTTCTATGGTTCTTCAAACTTCCAGAGAGCTGAGAAAATGACCTTAACCAACAGTACACTCAGGTTTGTTATGTCACCATGCAATTGCTCGAAACCAGTAGTACCAAAATTGTGAAGAAATAATTAAAATGTGAATTTATCTTATGGTGAGCATGCTGGTTGTGTGGTGAAGAAATACGTGACATGCTGAACTGACTAATTACAAAAGAAAAATGTTAAGTTTTCAACCCTCAGCTGGTCCAGGCAGCAGCACTTGAAAGTCAAATAGCAGCAAGTTAGTAGTTCTAAGCAAATGTGTTTTCAAAATAATTTTTACTTACATATTATATTAAGTATATATACTTATTTATTATATTATTTTATTTCTTCATTTGGTACAGGTCATTATACAATCAAGACAGAGATTTAAAAAGATGAGCTAAAAGAAACCGAAAACCTTGTATATGGATATATAATACATTTAGAAAGTTCTGGTACTTACTTAAACTTCACAAAGACTTGAATTCATTATGAGAGTTGAATATAGGCTTATTTTATCATTGAGAGAATAACTTCCTTGTTAGGATGCTTTAGCACATAAAAAGATAGGATCTGTTGCTAACATTAAGGAATTTGGAATGCCAAAACGGTATAATTAAGGATGTATTTTATTAGACTTCAGAAAAAATTCAGTGTCGTTATCTTTAAAAGATGCATATTGCTGTCTTAAAGTAGTATTCAAATCCTGAGAGAGAGTTTGGGGCTATGGGGAAAAGGCTATAGCTGCTTGCTAATGAGGGCTTTTTACAGGACAGGCCTCTGCTAAATGACGTCACTGATGCAGCTGGGCTGATGTCCCTGTCACAAAAACAACCTTCCCAGCTACTCCAATGGTAACGTGGCAGAAGCTGGTGATGAATTGGCACAGACCATACAGGACCTTCTCTTGCTCAGATAGGATCTCTAGCTCAGGAATACTATCAGCCAAGTTGTGCTGTACTCTGACCTATGAACAGGTTTCAGAATCAGTTCTTTTCCAGTCTAGTGCCTTCCTTAAATTCTAAATCTGCTCCTTTGTTGTTAGTTTTTCAAAGTTCTACAGCAGTAGCTCCTAATCATGAGGTTGTGGCCATGAAGTAGTCTTTGAAAACATTTCGTGAGGTTTTTCCATACAAAAGTTGGTTTAATCTTTGATAGCATAAAAATGTGGGGGTATTCTATTTGCAAAGGTTAAGTAGCTGTGTGATTCTATCTGTTGTCTGTGTAGAACTGAGAATCTCAGAACATTAGCATTTTTTATAAAGTAGGTGATGCCTGAGAGGGGCCATTTTCACAGTGAAAATTCATTCTAGTGAATTTACATACAATAAAGTACAAACATTTGGTTCTGTCTCTGTGTGACACAGATACTATTTTTTTTCCTAAGTGTTATAACCTTGTGGCAATTTAGGAGGTGAAACGTAGAGCAAACAATGTCTCTACTTCAAGCTGCAAAGAATCCTGAGATGTAGCTTGCAGTGATTCAAGGAAACAACTCATTAAGATAATTGGCTGATATGATACTTGTAGGTGATAAAGATTTCTAAAGATCTTTCTGTAAGACGGTCTAGAACTCGTAGGCATGCTGTGGAGTGCACATGAAAAATGGCTTTTATTTAATCTCCTCTGAGAGGCAGAACAATAATTGTTATTTGCTCCCATTCACCATCCATTTTGACCCAGTGAGATTGTTGACACAAAGTCAATAATTTATTCATGTTCGCCAACAGTCTTCAGACACAGCAGGATTTTTTTTCATGATCCTTCCTTCCCAGAAGTGACTTCATAAAGCCTGTTTAGTTCAGGCCTTCTGGTCAGATATGATGAGTCCGATAACACATTCTGGCAGACTTCACTTCGACTGTTCAAGGCTAACTGTCTTTTTTTTGTTGACACTATCCTCTGATGGGCATTATCATGCTAACTGTTATCCCAGGACATCAAATGAACGCTTTTTAAATGTGCTGTTGATAAATTGACTGGTAAAGGAGAGAAGATACTGAGAAAATTTTATCTTAGATAGCGTCTTTGACATGCCACATGCTCTACAAACCAGATTTCCAGCTTTCCACCTATTGAAAATCACGCCATCTTGTTTATTTTGTTGGATGAAGGTGTTTGCGCTTTTTATTTGTTTCTCATCAGACTATCTTAGATTTATGAAGCTCCTGTTTATTTAGCAACCAGAGCTCGTGCTATGAACTTTCATCACTGAACAGAAAATGGTCAGTGTTTGCAGTTGCAGAAATTGCTTAAAGGAAACTGCTTCATTTGAAAAATCTTGTTAGGCAACTGGGCCAGTGCTCCTGTGGGGTGTACCAGGTACTACGTGAAGAACTTTTCTTCCTTTCACCCATTGGTAATTCTCTACAAAGCTGTAGAAAACCTTTGTACTGTAGGAAATTGTTAAGCTTACAGCTCCAGCTGAATAGTTCTTTCAGGAAAAGAAAATGTGTTTCTTTACCAAATTCAATGCTCATTGGGAGAAAGGGACAGTCTGTTCACCTGAATGCAGGTCTGGGATTCTAGCAATTCCTGAACTCTAGTCCGTGTGCTAAGACTTTTCCTCCGATCTGAAAGAGGTCATTTGGCTTTTCTGACTCAGTCTCCTCTGTAATTAGTGAATGGGCAGAACCTGAAGCTTTATGTGTAATGTATAAGGAATTATTGAAAAAATGTTACAAATCTGTGATTTCTCTGAATTATTTTTGCTAACCTGGTTTCTTTAGGCTGTTGGGGAAGACAGCCAGCTGGGCAAGGCCCTTCAATAGCATTTTATGAGCACAAAAAATCAGGAGTGTGTTCTATAAACTTCAGAATTGTGCAAGAGTTGACGTACAGAGAGGTAGGATTGCCCTGCAGAAGTCATAGCAAACATTATATGCAAACCACACATGGCATCTAAATGTCTAAGCCATCTACTTGCTCTAAACTGCTTCTGTACTCTCATTTTTATGTTTTAAACAAACAAATTAAGTTCTACCCAGAAAGTGTTTGACGTGGGAGGGATTCATAGTTACTCAGTTGATTTGCTGTATTAACATTAGTATCTAATTTGTAGAGCAATAAATACTCAACATGCACCTACTTAAATACTTTTCAAATAGACATTGATCTGGAATTTTTTTTAAATGTACAGCAACATCAAATTAACTTACAACAAACTTCTGTTCTTCAGTGTGGTCTTTTATGTCTGTTGTTGCACAAAAGAAAAAAGGATGTGCAGATAAGTAGAGTCAGACAGAAGAAGAACGAAAAATTCAGGAATGAAAAATTAATATAAGAAGGAAAAATTATTGCCACAATACCATTATTTAGTAAGCACTTCACATCTAGCATTGAAGGGATTTAAATATTTAGGTTGTGGGTGTTTGGGAGTTTGGCTTTTTTTTTTTTTTTTTAATAAAAAGTGGATACCACTGGGAAAAACACGGAATTTAACTGTGTGCATAACCTTTGCAGGAAGCTGTTATTTCATGTTGTTTTACAGATAAGGATATCAGCCAAGTGCAAGGGTTTGCCTGACAGCATCATGGCTGGCTCTCGTTTACAGAAGGCCAGGAAAGTAGGTTAGCAGGAAGCCAGCCTTTGGCCTGGCTCTGAAGCAATGCTTGGATGTGTGCTTTGAACTGTAGCAAAACACTTTATCTGCTATATCACTGCTTCCCTCCTCATGATACAGACACTTAATTGAAAGACAGTATTCTTCAGGCAATAGATGACGATGATTAAAAACTTAAGCAAAAATGAGACTCTGAGTCATTACAAAAAGCCTTTTACTGTCTGTCTGGTAAAGTATCATGAGCATTTTTCTTCTTACAGAGCAAGTCATAAGATGATTCAATTATTCATATTGAAAAAATAATTTCCTCTCAAAGAGTTAGAGGAACTGGGCCATTGTTGCCCATGCAGTTTTCCCATTAACTAATTTTAAAGCTTATTGTGCAATTTTCAGTTTGCTTAGATGATTAAGAGCAGGTGAAGGATCAATTATTGAAAATGTAGTGTCAAAAAAATTTTGCTGTTTTCTGAACCATTGAGCACTGCTTCATTGATGAAATAGTAATCTCTTTTCCTTGAACCTTATAAGCTCTTTTTCCTTTCTTTTTTCTTTTTTTTTTTTGTAATTTAGAAGCTTTTTGTTTCTTATCTTAATTTTTCCATTAAACTTCAGCCTAGTTGCATGATTTTTACTTAATATTAAGGAGTCATTTGTCTGCTGTTCTACTTTTTTAAGTTGTTTCTGTGCACTAAGCTCAAGATTTTGTACCATTTTACCTCTCGAGAGTTACAAACTGGAAAGACCTGAAGCAAGTATAGTTGAGGTATCAGTTTGCTTCTTTCAGGATCTATATGCTGTTCCTAGAAAGTGTTTGAGAAATAGTCACATAGTCAAAAACAATTAATTTTTTTAATTAAATGTCTAATTTCTTGAATGAGCTATTTTAAAACACCTCTGTTTATCTGAACAACTTTCTGTCTTTTGCTGTGGAGATCATAGGGCTAATGCTAGGAAAAAAGAGAACTTCTATCGTCATTTCCTTTTATTCCATGTAAAGATTTTATTTGAATGTGGTATGATGAAGTGATACTATGAAAGTGTCTAAATCATTAATTTCTAGCTGTTGTGCTGTGTATTTAAAAAAAAAAAAAAGGCATTATGCCACCACTGCTCCCCCATTTTCTTTTTTTGAAGCCCTTCTAACCAAGAGGCCTTCCTTCCTGATGTCACTGTTCACCCATGATGTGTTTTTAATGCAACAGGGAGGAACGTGCTTATGTTGAGAAGTGCTGGAAAGATGTCCGAGTGGGGGATTTTGTGCAGCTGCAGTGTAACGAGACCATCCCAGCTGACATCCTACTGCTGTACTCCTCTGACCAGAATGGGATCTGTCACTTGGAGACTGCCAACCTTGACGGGGAGACCAACCTCAAACAGCGACAAGTCGTGACGGGGTTCTCCAGCCAGGTAAGTCTGCTGAAAAGGCAGCCCCTGCAGTGCGGGGTTGGTCTGGGCCATTTGCACAGCAGCTGCAGCCATGAAGTGCGCCAGTTCTGACAGGCTGGTTGCGCTGATACAGCTATGAAAGCGTTGTGCTGTTGGAGCTAACGCCCTGTATGAAAGCAGCAGTTTGTCCTAAAAAATTTTTGTTATTCTGGTACCGAGATGGCTGTATAAAAAGGAAGATTAGCTTAGACAGTAGTTATTTGCGGCAAACTGCACCAGCAGATGCTTAAGCAACAACACACAGTGCCACCATTGGGGACAGCAGCAGGTCTTTCCTACGTATAAGCCATCCGTACCCCACAGGTTGTCACGGCACATAGTGTGCCACAGCAAAGCCACTACTATTGATTATTTCTGTATGGAAATTGGAAGAGAGCTCATGGTCCCCTTTCAAAGTGGCCTCGGGCTTCGTTATGGATTCTACTTCTCTGTTGCAGCTGACATACCGTTGCTCATTTGCTAGGCAGGTGGATGTATGGCAGTTCAACTGCTCTAAGGCACGCTAAGTTGTAATGAAATAATGCAATCTTTTATAGGAGTATAATAAGCAATTGAATAGGAACTTAAGGTAAATTAAAATGTGAAAAGGTAAATTAAAGTAGTATGTTTGACATCAGTTTGATTGTTAGAAGTGATCAAGTTTGAATGCTTAAAAATCACCAATTTTTTTCCATAGGCCATAAAATTCCCTTTTTACAAACATTTTACTAGTAAATTCTTTTGATTCATGTTCGATTAACTTGATGTAAACAATAAAATATGACTTAGGGACAGTTGTAGTTGTTACCTTTTTCAATATCTTTTCAAACATAGCAGGGCAGTTTTTCAAAAATCGCAGAACAAGTTTAAGGAGTTGTAGCGTGTGAAGAGGAGTATTTTGTGCCATTGGAATCACTCCAGCAGACAGGAAATCCAAAAACCTGGCAGGTAATTCTAGGGATTACATCCATTTATTTAGCTGTTAGTAGCAGTGACATTAGGAAGAGCTTTTGGGGTTATTGGTGGGTGGCACGCAGCTGCCAGTGAGAAACCAGATTAATTAAATAAAAGTACACCATTTCCATGGCCAGTTGTGATCAGGTACTGTACTCCAGTGTTATTTGCTCTTTGTTCAAATGAAAATCACTTTGCAAGCACAGTTAAGGCTTTCTCAGGTTGTGGATGCCATAGTATAAAGCATACCTTTTCCAGTGCTTGCCAATGATGATAAGGGAGAGGGACTTTTCCTGAGAAACACTGAAAATTTTTAATATGTAGAGATTTAACAGAAGCACAATAAACTGACTACTTAAATAGAAAGGTAAAAATGCTGTATGTGTCACATAGTCACGGTTTACACATTAAGTTTTGAATTTTCGTTTTAGAGGAAAACAGTTTGGTCTACAATCATCCAAAATGCAAACTTTTGTTTCAGTTGTTTATAATACGAGGAAGTCTTTATTTAAATCAGAAAATCCCCGCATGCCAAATTATGCTTCATAGAATCATAGAACAGCTTCGGTTGGAAGAAATCATCAAGATCATTGAGTCCAACCTTTGTCCTAGCTCTACCAACACCACCAAACCATGTCCCTAAGTACAACATCTACCCTTTTCTTAAACGCCTCCAGGGATGGTGACTCCATCACCTCCCTGGGCAGGCTGTTCCAATGCCTGACAGCCCTTTCAGTAAAGAAATTCTTCCTAATATCAGATTGCCTATTCACAGTTTTTTTCTTTAGAATTTGAGGTTTTGAGCTAAAAAAAAAAAAAAAAAAACGAAACAGTGCGCTAAGTAGCACATGCACAGGTTTTAGTGTGCTGACTTCTTCCGTGTTCTTTGAACTTTGTTTACTCCTGCAATTTATGTGCTGCATAAAACTTACTCAGATTTAATTGGGTCTGTAAAGTGTACCTCTTTAAGGAGGAAGTAAATATGTATGAACTGGGGTTGTTATGTTGTTTTAGGATATGCTTAGGAATAATTAATTCACCTACCTGTAAATGACTGAGAGGAAGGTTTATTTTTTTTTTCCTTTTATGCCTTTTTCTAACTTGAATTTTCAAATGTAAAATTCTTGTCATCGAAAGAAAAAGTTTTGAGAGAAGAATCGTCCTTGCTTACCCCTTTCTAGCTAGAAGCCTATTAGTTTTCTTCATTAGTAATGAGCCATACAGGTGCCTTTTGCATCTTCATGTACTCCTGTTGTAGAAATATTTCTAGCTCAACCAAATATGTGTTGATTTTTCTGTTGAGTTTACTGAGTTGAACAGTGGATCTGCACAGTATCTCTTAAAAGAGATTCTCAAAATATTCAGCCTCATGGGTCAGAAGTTATACAAAATGCCCTTATATTTATCAAGCTTTTATATTTCCTCTCACTTTTTTTTAGTTCAGATTCTCTATTGCTTGTAATTAGATTTTGTTTAAAATAAAAAGAATATATCTGTTGCACAGGAAAAAATAACCAGGAGAGAGAAAATACTGTAAAAATTAAAGCACAGTGAAGAAAAAATTGAGACTTGAGGACTGTCAGTATAAGGAAGTCTTCTTACAGTCTGGCAAAGTTTTTTGTGAATTCCTATGAAGGATTCCTAAGATTTGCAGTTTCTGAAGGAGTCTAATCTCTGGAAGTCTCTCTTGCTGCAGAAAAAGGTAGAGACGTCCAGCAGCAGACTTGATTTCCAGCTTTCCTAATGGGAGTATTTTGGATTAAAGTGAGTTTCAGTTCTTTTAAAGATTTTATGGCATAGCAATAATGATTCTTTTTCACATTTCTCACATACAATTTTTATTACATTTTCCTAACCTAAAATCAAAGTTTTGTGTACTTTTTCAGTTAAGAAAAAACCCACCACTTAGGGCAGTCTGATACCTCTCGTACCATCTGCTTTCTGGACTGCTTCACGCAGTCCAAAACCCAAGCCTGTTTCCTCGAACACAGGGGAAATCAAATCAAACTGTGTGTCTCAGTTCAGCTCCAAGCTCTTTTTGAGTGAGTACTTAGCCTGAAAAGCACTGTCTTATTTTGTTTTTCCCAGCAGTTTGGACTCATTCTAGTACTTTCCCTCTCTTGGTTTTGTTTGTTCATTTGGGGCTTTGGTTTTTGGATTCGGTTGGGGTTTTTTCTGTTAGTCTTGCTTTTGTCTTATTTGAATGTGATACTTTTATTCAAATGTGTGAGCTCTTATTTTATAATTATGCCATCCTGGCCAGTAATGTAACTCTTCTAACATGTTTCAAAATCCTGATAAATCCTGAAATTATTTTCATTTGAGCTTGCTTTTGGTTGAAGGCTGGTTTTCTTTCATAAATAAGTTGAAGTATTTGTTACGTTCACTTTAAATGAAGACAGATGTTTTCACTAATTGGCATCTGTGATGTCCTGTCCAATACACAGCATTTTCTTCATTCACTGTAACCAGTTGTTAAACCAAGAGGGGAAAATTCCAGATCTTTACTCAGCCCCTCTGAAGCTTTGCTTCAGGCTGAACAAGCTAAATGCCCTCTGCCTCTCCTCATAGGGCAAGTGCTCCAGCCCCCAACTATCATGGAGCCTATATTTAGCTGCTCTTTGTGTTTAGTATTGCAGGTACTCATTGGATTTGACACTCATTCTCAGTGTGCTTCCTTTTGCAGAATACTATGTTTGAACCTGAATTTTTCCAAAACACCATCATCTGTGAAATGCCTAATAACGATCTCAATAAATTCAAAGGGTACATGTAAGTACTTGGTATCCATAAATGGATTTTGTATCTGAACTTTAATATTTCTCTTGGAGGAACTGGATGGAAGGAACATATTTTGGAGAAATTGTTGGATGTCACTGTTATCTATTCCTGGATTCAGAAGTCAATTTAAAATGTAGACCAGAATCTGGCCTTCCAGTCAAGCCAGAACCAAGCCTTGATTTTGAATTTGCCGTTGTTTCATACAAACTGTTCTCACAAGGCTTCAGCTCTTTTCAGAATTCAGACATAGGCTCATTTACATTTGACCTGAGGGTTAGGCTAGGCTACATTTTAAATCAAGATCCTTCCTATTGTTTAAAGATATTCAGCTGCATGGCTCTAGTTTCTTCATATTTACGGCCACAGGGAAAAGATACACAGGATCTAACAAACAAATCTGATATTCTTCTTAAAGCTAGAAAAAGCAAGCAAACAAGAAAAGTCCTACTGGACCAATGTGTTAGACTAATACAAAAAGGTGCTGTGTGTGTATAAACCTATGCATGCGAGGAAACAGCCACATCCTCTGTTCTTTATGTTCGTTCTTCATTAAATAATTCTGGCACAGACATAAGGGAAATCTATGCTAGCAAATTCAGCAGATTTATGTCCATTCCCTGGCTATAAGGCCAAGTTGTATGGCATGCCTCATGTCCCAAAATTCTCTTACACTCCAATACAGGGCAGCTCTTTCCCAAGGCACTCTTCAGAGCAGCTGTTGGTCTGTGCTGATTCCCACATCACATCAGAGAATTGTCTGAAATACCTGCTGCACCAGACAAGAGGCATGCCCCACATTATGCAAAAAATTTAACTGTATGAATGTGCCAGCACCCCTATCCATGCCCTGGCTTTGTTAACTTTGCTGGTAGCTACACTAGGAGTTAATGTCTCTCCAGGAATGCACTGAGAGTGCTGCACCTGGAGCAGCTGCAAATGGCCAGATCCTCTGACATGAGAAAACCAGAGCCCATTAGTGCTGCCCGTACTTTATCTGGTCTTGAGAATTTATGCCCTGTAAGAATGATACCTCTAATAGCTACGCCATTTCCTCTCTACTGTGCTATCTTACAAGGGAAAAAGAGGTCAAGTTTGTATTGATTGCTGGCTGTGGTTGCTGGATTTGAGGACCACTGCGTATAATCTAAACTGAAGCAATCCTTCCAATTAGCCTTCTGTAATATGGCACGAGAGCACTGAGATTATAGAAATGTAGGGGATATGTCACAAGAAAACACACACAAATACACACCCTTAGAACCCAGGACTAGCTTCAAAATCTTCAAATCTCTTGAAAGTCTGTAACAGAAATCTCTTTTGGAAATGCCTGTGATCTCACTTGCTTGGTGGAATACGGAATTATCTGTCTTTCTCTCCCAGCTTCAGGGGCAGATGAAAGAATTTGCCAGTGAAGAATACTTACTAACCGTTTCTGTCTTTGGTCTGCTGTTATTTGAGCTATTGAGCTAAATTACTTGGAGCGTTACATTTTTCTCCAAGAACCCATAATAAATTATTGAGGCTCTGTTGCCTTGCTATAAAACAGTAGCAGTACTCTCTCTGCTAAAAATTATAAGAAAGAACGTAGTGACATCCATCTGACACACCTGACCACAGCAATTTCTGCTTGAGGGGAATGCAAGAAGGCTTCTATTAAATGAGTTCACCAAAGTTGGATCTAGATTCCCAGAAAAACAGGTTTCTGGCATTATTTTTTACAATTTTGCCAGCTGCAGGTTGTTGGCACCTAAACCTTTTCACTTGTCTAGTTTGATGTCACATAATCATGTGCAGCTGCACATAGACATAGGACTGTACCTAGCCGTGAGATAGCACCTAACTTTGCCCTCCATTTGAGTTTACTGGTAAATGCAATGCCAAATACCAAACAGAAAGTAGTAAAAGATATATATTCTAGAAAAAAATATCTTCTAGAAAAAAAAAATCTTCTGATGTTGATATTTACATCACAAAACCAGATGGAGTGACTGAAGTGAAAAATCTCAGCTTTGGTAAAGATCTCAGGAGGAGCCTACCAGAGTATATAATAAAATCTGTGAGCAAAAGTAGTTTTATGCTTTCATTTTCAGAGGCAAGTAACAAATTGCCTGCCTGATGGAGCACTGACCGTATAATTTCCATTAAGTTTTCATTGGTCTGTTCTGCTAGCAGAAAGATCTGATGTATGATGGGATATCTTCAGCCAGGATGAAATATCTTCCATGCAGTGTGAGAGTGAGGAAGAGAGAGACTCGGCCTAAAGACTTTTCAACCGAACTGAGGTTCACAAAGATGAGAAGCCCTTCGGTGGCTGACAGAGATAGAGGCTCTTGCAGGGTGCAGATGTGTTCATCTGAACCTCTACAGGCAGGCAAACCCTGCTCAGCCTTCTAAAAGATTTTCATCTGAATGAAGTTGCGTAATGTATCTTGGCTTCATTTATGAGCTAATGAATCTGCCAGATGAGATACTGAGTGAAAGCCAAACTTGCTTCATATTGACATCATGATACACAAAACATGCAAGCGGTCTTTAAAAGAGATACTTCGACTTTTCTGTAACTTCTTAGTGGAGTCTTTATTGAAGCTGAGCAAAATACAAGCAAAATAAGTCCTTCACAGTTCCTTGATTTCAAGTTGAAGTAGGTATGCACACAAAAATTTGTTTAATGCTATATTAGAATAGAAAAAGGCACTGCTTTATTTTATTTTCTTTCTTCTAGGGAGAAGCCAAATCATGAACGGATCGGTTTTAACATTGAAAGCCTCTTGCTTCGTGGATGTACAATCAGAAATACTGAGGCTGCAATAGGAATAGTTATATATGCAGGTAAGATGTATTTTCTATGTAGGTAAGCATAGAAATTCCCTGTAAATACCCTTAAGTAAATATGCACAGTCTAATATTGCACCACAACTTGACGTTTTGTTTTAAGAGGTGGTAATGCATGGGAAAATTACAGAACTTTCGAAGTAAAGGTATTCCTCATCCATCTCCAAAGCCAGAGAGTCCTGTGCTGGGTGTCTAGCAATTGACAATATCCTTGTGTGCATCAAATATCTTGCTATTTTTGCTATACCTTGGAAAAATATCCTAACAAGTGAAAAAATTGCTAAGGTGAGTTTAGCTCTCAGCTCTGCAGCTCTGATTATGACACTAATTCCATCTGGCATAAAATCTACACGGCTGCCCTAAGGGAGGTCTCATTGGCTCCTCAGGGTAGAAACCGATGCAGCTGAAGATCTACTCAGAAAAAAAAAAAAATCACAAAGCCAAGCTGTGCCAGCAGTGCCAGCACAGAGATGGCAGAGAGAACAGCAGCTGGAGGTGACAGAAGAGGCAGCAGCAGCACAGGTTTGTGCTGACATACACATAGCGTGTCCATGCAACCGTGAATTTCATGCAGTAGAGACGTGAACCAAGCAAGACAGTGTCAGTGCCCAGATCAAACGCAGCGGTGCCAGGAAAAAGGGTCAGTTCATCTTTTTCTCAGCATGTTTTACTTTTGGAATGTTACCACTGTTTTTAATCAGTGAGCATGATTTATCACTGGCTTTGCCAGCTGTGCCCTCTTCTGCTTCAGATAGAGTATACAAGCCACACTACTTGTTTGTAGATTAAATAAAAGTCAATTTAAACACAACAATTAATCCCATTATTGGTTATTTTTTTTCTTTCCAGTAGTGTCATGTAACCTGCTTTATGTCTAATCAGTAACAAGGTGTTCAAGGCTGAACCACCTAAGAGAAAAGAGAAGTCATTGTCTTTGAAAGAGTCATTTATCTTAGATTAAGCTCCACAAACCAGATTATTTTACCTGACAACTGACCATTTTATTTCACTACTGTAGAAGCAGACTGTCAATTACTATAGCTCCCATATGTTTCCAAAATAGCCTTCACTTTGTGGGTCTTTCATTGCCTCTTTCTCTGAATACCAGATGTAAGGATGGTGCCTACCAGACAGAGGAGAGCCAGAACCAAACTCATCACTTTTTTTTTTTTTTTTAATATAAAAATCTCTTTAGGGATCATTCACTATAGAATTGGAGTAACTTTTCTTCCCTTCTCCTTTATGATTTGTATTTTTCTTCTTTATAGTTGATTTCCCAGTATGTTCCTTTGACCACCAGCACAGATCCTAATGCAGATCTCGGTTAGTGTTTTTTAAACTACTAGTAGCAAAGATTGGAGTTTTAAAGTCATTCTGAAGATGTGTCTTTGATCTGAGTAAGACTTCAATTCAATTTCCAACTGACATCTTACTGTTAATGTCAGTATAAAAGTTTATTCTTTTTCTTCTAAAATTAGACTCACTTGAGCCAGTACCAGCTTAATTTCTAGGATTCTTTGACATTGATTATATTCTGGCTTTTAATCGTGATCTGTGACCTTTTCTGAACAGTTGAGATCAGTTGCATAATAAGATAGCACATTCTCCATTTTCATAACTCTGTTACTCCTCAAACTTACTTTCTAATGGAAGCCTTTGTGAGGAAGAGTACAGACATTGCTTAATGTGATTGTTTAGCCTGTGCAGTTCTCATCGGACCCAAATATGGTTATAATTTTTACAGCTAACCAAATGGTTTTACACAAAGCAGTAGCACTAATGCATTAAAACCTCATTACAGAGCGACAGCCAATGTAGTTTTCTCATTGTGATAGGACAGCAGCTTTTCAAATAACAAAGTGTCAGAATGAAGTTTTAGATGAGCCCATCAGCATCCAGAAATAGAGAGATAAGGTACTGGTGGAGTAGTAGGTGAGGTGCTGTGTTGCGCAGCATATGAAACTGTGAGAATTAGAGAACAAGGTAGTTTATTCCTCTTATTGCTGATATTCTGTTTCTTGCACTGTGATATCTGTATTACAAATGTGTCCTTTTCCTGTTGGTCATCTGAAGTGGAAGAGAATGATAGAACGAATATTTGGAATGAAATCTCTTTCCATCTTCTTCCCGAAATAAACCCATCAGCATTTCCTTGAGGATTTTCTGGGAGGTATTAGAGGTTTTTTGTCTTGTTTTGTTTTCAACACAAAACATTCCATTAAGCCTAACATAAAAGAAAAGTGAGGAACACGATTCACATAGCTGGAGGAGCAGAAGTACAGGCAGCAGTGCCTTCCTCTTCTGTGTAGCTTGCTGGTTAGATTCACCGAAGGCAAGACTTGGATTTTGTTCTGTTCTGCCTGTATGGGAGTGAGCATACGTCTCCTGCTTTGCAAGTTGTACCCTGAATAACTGACTGTGTGGAGTGGGTATGTACATAGACATGAGTTGGAAAGGAAGGAGCATTGGTAGTCTAAGCTGGTCCCACTGACATAGCTCCAGGTTGTGTAAATAATTACATATTCATTGGAACAGGAAGCCAGGAGTCCCAGCTCTTGGGTGAATGTCCTGAACATAAGGGTGGAGAGTAATTTTCTCTCTTGCTCTCTGCCTCAGTTAATAATGATGTTTGATATAAACCCGGAATGAATCCAGCAGGTGTGATTGAATCGCGCCTAACTTCCAGCTTTTGCTTCAATTCACTTCCCTAGAGAAAGCCAAAAGGTAGCTTGGAAATCAGTCCCGCTCATACACATCACGCACACACAAATGAAAACTGAATACAAGTATACAGGGCCTCTATTTTCAGGGGAAAGCACTGTAGAAATAAACATAAAAGATACCCTTTAATATAGCAACAGATGGTATCCAGGTATCCCAATTGTGGAGCCACAGTTTAGATAATATTAATAGAATAGAAAAAGAAATTTCTGCTTCTCGGCTTCTTACAGCAGTCCTCCTTTTCCATTACAAATATACGAGCTCAATTCTAATTCAGTAATTTTTAAGGATTGGGGCTTTTTTATTTCTTGTCCTACTGTTTTGTTAGCACTTTACAACCACGTAGCAATAAACTAAGTAACGTTACTGTCTTTCACTGCTGGATCTGACATGTTGGATTTTATTGAAGTTAATAGATGAAATGTGTCTAGTGGCTTTTAAATATCTGCTGAAAATATTCAAATGTACGTTTCAGGAATCTGTATAGTACCTAATTAAGTTGTTTGTAAAATAAAAGAGTTTTATATTATTGTTCTTTTTCCTTTTATTCTCAAGGAGACTTGGCTTTTGAACATTTATATAAAGCCTGTGATCCTACTGATGTGTCTTTGGGAAAGTAAAACGTATATGACAGCTGACATCTGTAATGCAATGGAGGTCTTTTGCAAATCTCTAGATTTAGTCTCACATATATTCTGTTATTCGGTCAAATGAGAAGATAGGCAATAAAATTTCTGAAAGAAACTGGAGTCAAATTAACATTAGTCATGAGTATCCTGTTCTCATTTTATGAGAGAAATACTTTTCTAAAAAAAAAAAAAAAAAAACACTACAAAATATTACATAAAATTCATTTGTGTTTTGAAGGTCATGAAACTAAGGCCATGCTAAATAACAATGGTCCTCGTTACAAGCGCAGCAAGATAGAGCAACGGATGAATATGGATATTTTCTTATGTGTGGGACTCCTGTTCGTGATGTGTCTTGTTGGAGCTATAGGTATGAAGCACTGACAAAAATCTTCTTCTGTTTCATTGCTCTTTTCTAAATGGTGGATAAGATTGATCTTATAGACATGAGTGAGTTCAGATCTAGAGCTGAATGCTCTTGGAGTCTTTGGTCTTCTTGGTCTTTCTAATAGACAAGTTAAAATGGCAAATATGAGCAATTCAGGTGGAAGAAAACTCAACCATGGCTATAAATATTTCCAGTAAAACCCATGTCCATTATGGTAAAATATATTCAAAGCAAGCAAGTTGGGTTTATGTATTATAGGAATCAGTACTTGCCAGCTGAGATCTACTTCCTGAGTGAATGTTTGTTCCTTGTGTATAACAGTATAACAATAAAAGTAAAATTATGTAGCATTACCTCCATTTCAGTAACATCTTCCTCTAATATGTTCAGGAGTGATGTTCGCCAGCTCCCACAGCACTCGTGGTTGCATCCCATCAGGGCTCATGGATTTGTGGGTGTCTAGTTTACCTAAAAGATCCCTAACCCAATCCTCCTCGACCAAAGGGTAGTCCTCCTTTCTTCTGACTTCTTCCCCTAACGCCAGAGGCAGGGATTCCTGAGGGCCAGCTTTAGTACTAAAGACTGAGGCAAAGGCGGCATTCAACAACTCCGCCTTCTCCATATCCTCCGTCACCAGGGTACCTGCCTCATTCAGCAATGGGCCCACAGTTTCCCTGGTCTGTCTTTTGCTACCAATGTATTTGAAGAAGCCCTTCTTGTTGCTTTTGACATCTTTGGCTAGATTTAATTCAAAGTGGGCCTCATTGCATCCCTCCATTCTCTGGCAATGTTTCTATATTCCTCCCAAGTGGCCAGTCCCTTTTTCCACCCGCTGTAAATTTCTTTCTTCACTTCGAGTTTTTCCAGAAGTTCCTTGCTTATCCAAGCAGGCCTTCTGCCTCCTTTGCTCCACTTCTTCCTCATAGGAATGCACTAATCTTGAGCTTGGAGGAAGTGCTGCATATACTCTGCATATACTTTACACTCTTCAATAGATTTACAGGTTTGCTTGGGGACTGTTGCTTTAGAAATATTCTTTCTTTTTAGTTATCATAGCAGTCCATATCAGCAAATTTGAGAAGCTTTGTCATATTTTTCCTACAGGGCATGGCATTTGGACTGGAAACTTCTCAGAGCATCCGCCTTATGATGTCCCAGGCAAGAATGGCAATTTTCTGTCCCCAGTTCTTGCCGGTTTCTACATGTTCTTGACAATGATAATCCTGTTGCAGGTAAAACAAAAAACCTCTGTTACCTCCAAGGAAGAAGCTATTCAAAACTGAGTATAATCACTGATAAGCAATTAATATCAACTAATAGCTGTGCAGAACCTTCTTAATCCTATTTGAAAATATTGCTAGGAGTATTTCAAATCATCCAAGTGTGAAATAACGTGTCCTTTCTTTCTTTGTTTGTTTCTTTCTTTCTCTCTCTCTCTTTCTCCTTTCTTTCTTTCTCCTTTCTTTCTTTGTTTCACGCTCTTTACTGCTCTCTCGCTTTTTCTCTCTTGCATTTGCACTCACTCTCTTTCTCTCATTTTCACTATTGCTGTTGAAACACCACAAGGACGTAGATAGGAAGGACAGGTATTATATCTTTAAATAACTCCAGAATCCTTAGCATATGCAGTAAAGAGGATGTTTACATCCAAATGTCAGCTTTTTCTTTTCTGCCTATGTCCAGAATTCCAAACTAAGAATGCCACTTAACATCTCAGGAAAACAGTGAAACAAAAATTGTCATTTTTGCCAATAAGGAATAATAACTAGGTATGGCACAGCTGGTCTAGGAAAGAAGATAAATTGGAAGTAGGATACTTGTATATCTGAGTCTGATTAAGCCTAATTGGGAAAGAATATTTTATGGGATGGGGGAAAAAAAAAGCACATTCATTTTTCAGATTTCTTGATGTAACTGCTGACATTTAAGTGGACAGAATTTCTTTAATATAAATGAAATGCAAAGATAACTTTCAGAGCTGCTCAGAGATTCCTTGGGGAATTACTCTTCATTACTGCAACAGAATATTTGTGCATTTTAAGAATTCATTATTGTTTCAGGGCAGGGAAGCGTTGTGTGCAAGGTAATTGCTTGTGAAACTTTTTTGCATTAAGAGTTAGTCTGTGCTAGTGCATCCTTTCAGAGCTTCAGGAGGCTAAGAGCAAACATGCTTCTCAGTCCGGAAAATGTGCCTTGTAAGAGCATCCTCTGAAAGACCCATCTTTGTATTTGGTGTTCTAGGAATTTTGGCTTAAATTTTTAACTTATTGTCCCTGTTTATCAATTGTTCTTGTGTGCAGGATTTTTTTTTCTCCCCAGAACTACTATTATTCAGTCCTACAGTATGTCTCTAGGAACAACTGCTTCTCTGAAAATTATTAGTATATCTGTGTCAGGACACTGCTGACAGAAAGCAATAAGACTTGTCTCGCCCCTCACTTAGAATTTAACTCTCTTTCAGGTTTTAATCCCCATTTCTCTTTACGTGTCCATTGAGTTAGTCAAGTTGGGCCAAGTCTTTTTAATTCACAATGACATTGACCTGTATGATGAAGAGGCAGATTTGCCCATACAGTGCCGTGCCCTAAATATTACTGAAGATCTTGGACAAATCCAGTATATCTTCTCAGACAAAACTGGGACACTGACAGAAAACAAAATGGTCTTCCGACGCTGTACTGTCGGTGGAATTGAGTTTTCACATCAGGAAAATGGTGAGAGACACTTTTTTTATACTTGCTTTTCTCTCTGAGCAACTAAATATTATTAATTAAAATATTAATGTTTAAGTCTACTGAGCCCTCTGACTGAATGCAGAGCTTTGTGAATTCATGTCCATTTTGTGAGGGGCTCCTGTTACAGAGATTTGCAAAAGTGAAAGTGTTTTAAATTATTCAGAATTCAGACAGGAAAGGTTTTCTGGTTCCCTCTGCAGGCATCTCAGGCTTTGCTCTGCATTCAGTACCCACTCGAGAGTGCAAAGAGAACATTTTCTTTTTCATTTCTAAACGAATGCCAGCTGACCTTTTATAAGCTCACAAACAAAGATTAGTTAGTAATTAAACTCAGTGGATCTGAAAGTAGTTTCCATAGTCTTCTGTGTGATATGAAAGGTACAGCTACACATTTTCTTGAGTCAACCCTAACTGCAGTCCATACTTGAAATTTCTTGGCATTTGGTGTTCTGAATCTGGGCATTTGACTCGGGCCCATTCTTGGTTGCTACTTTCTCTCTGTATATAGAGCACAGGGTTTTATTAAGCTGGGAAGCAGCTGTCAAAAAGTTGTTTGTGCTCTGTGAGTGAAAACATTAGCAAATCTATGAATTACCATATTTCACTCTCCTGTACCAGTCAACTGCAAAATGCAGCTAAAGAGACCAGGCATTACCAGAAGTCCATAAAAATGACTAATCGCTCTGAAAATGCATTTTTGTTTTCTTGCAATAATAAACATTGGAGAGTGAGAGTTCCCAGAAGCTGAAGTGGATAGCGAAGTTTTTCTGGTGCTGGCTTTTGAGATGTTTTGGCTTTGGTTTAGTTTGTTTCAGCTTTTTTAACCAACCAAGGAATTCCTCCTGAGCAATGCAAAAAACAGAATAAGAGACAAGGTTTCATTTTCTCTTTTAACAGCCAAGCGCCTGGAAACCCACAAAGAGTTGGATTTAGATGATGAGGACTTTGCAAAACATCAACGTTTCACTCTTCCTCCCATGAATATTGAGGCACCAGCCATTCATAAGCAGAGGACCACAAGACCTGTAAGGAGGTGCCAGAGTGCTAGGGCTCATTTTCAGGGGCATACAAGGAACAGGTCACTTGGTCGTCGTGACAGCAACCAGTCTCAAGTGGCATTCAGCAGTACCATTGTGAGTATGAACAAACTGAGCTAACACATTTTAAGTTCTCCTTTCTGTTGCATTTTGTGATGGGGAGTCAACAGGTGGACAGGAGAAATCCAAGCCCTGGTGGGGCTAAGAGAGGGAAGGGGGAGACAAAGCATTGGGGTCCTCACTTGGAGTGTGCAAGCTTCAGTCAGGGTGGAGCTAGTTGAGGGTTTGGGAATCTGGGTCCTTGTATCAAAGACTGCAGCAGAAGAGTAGCGACACATGGGTGAGGTTTTGTGATGGTTGTTTGACAGGAGGAGACATAAATTTGGGTTCCAAGGATTGAGGCTGTGGCTCATAACAGCAAGAGGTACTTTGCACAAAGAGGAATTAGGTTTTTGTATGTTCTGGGTACACTAAAATGCCAGGGAAAATGAGGCGAGGCTTCTGGGCTGGGATTGCACAAGAGGAGCTAGCGACATGAGCCCAGGGCCTGGCTTTGCAGAAACAGGAGGCACAGGTCCTCCTGGGAGGTGATGGTTGGGAAGAGGGTATGCGTTTGAAGTCTGAGTTTGAACGCAGCTCAGAAAGCCACAAGTTGCTACTACCGATAGCGCTGCAACATATGGTCTCTGTTAAACAATGTTTAGCCACCCCTGTGCAGTGCATGCAAAATGCCCAAGTGGAACACTCCAGAGCAGTTCTGGGAGTTTTTTACCATGTCAAAAGATAAATATTTCATTTTTCAAGGAAAGAAAAAGAGCGGCACTTCTCACAAAGATAATAGAAATTAAGCTAAAAGGGCTTATCGGAGTAAGGTCTTAAACCCTGCAAGATGTTGAACTCTGCAAAATGCTGAAGAGCCTTGTCCTTGTTCTGTAGCTGGGTGGCCTCTGCCTCACCTGGAGTACTGACTTGGAAGTACATGTTATCTACATTGCAATTCTAGAAAAATCTTAGGCTCTGCTGAATTTTAGATCTGAATCTTCATCTGAAAATCTAACACAACCTAATTAAAGTCAGATTGTTGGTTTCTTCTTGAAAGTTTTTTAACGGACATTTCAGACAAGGCTTTTATGGACTCTAGGAGAAGGTAGAACAAAATTAGAATTCCAATTAAATTAGAATTCAAATTAAATGCCTGGAAAACCCTTCCAAATCTTGATTAAAAAAAAAAAAAAAAAAAAAAATTCTGAGAACTTTGTTTTCTGCAGTTGTTCTTAGCAAAGTTTTTGACTTGCTGACATTTTTTTGGAGGATGTAAGTATAAGATCCTACTTGCCTCGTTCAGTTCCTCTCTCATGCGGTAGGTATCAGTCAGTACTCCTCCTGCTCTTGGAATATAGGGGTTTTGTCAGTCGTCATCCCAGCATTTTCCAGCTCAGTCATCATGGGATGTTGAGAACTGCTCCACAGGTTCTTGAGAAGCCACGGGTCATGAGTTTTGAGAACCTTTTATGAGTCATGACTTTTGAAGTGTGATAAAGGAATTTCTTGTCAGTATATTTCCCCAATTATGTTTTTTTTACTGCCAGACCTCTTCATTTTCTTTTATAAATAAGCTGCCATGGTTTTTATTGGGGTTTTTTCCACTGTAAAAGCAATATCTAAGGGACTAGTATCATCTAGTCTTTCCAGAGGAAAACATCTCCTTTCCAGAGGAAAATTAAGCTTCTGGCATGGAAATAAGCAGCCTTGGCTGCTAATAGGTGTCACTCTATCTGGATAAATCATTTAACCCCTATGATAAATATGAAGGTGTAGTAAAAATGGAGACACTTACGTATTGCCCAGAGGCTGTCTTGTATGTTGATAATCTTCAAATGATGCTTAGTACCTTTCTTTACCAGCCAAGCCAATTTCCTATTAATAAACTGGGTATAATACAATTTTCTGTGTCCCTATGGTTCCTGCCCTTTAGAACTCATATCACTGTATCTGGTGCATTTGTACTTTGCTACAAATCTGGAACATCTTGAGTACTCCAGTTACACAGATAGTATTGTGAGCCTAAATGTATCTCAGTAATCAAAATTTCTTAAGAAAAAATCCCTCTTCGAACAAAACGTGAGTGGAGAAGCAAAGACTGCTATGTAACTTGATTTATTTAAGGCTTGCAGATCCCTTCTGGATGAATGGCTTTGCTAAAATAAAAGTGTTCAGTGGCAGTCAATTATTGTCAGACACAATCCTCACTAGGAAGTTGTGAGACTCTGCTTCTTCAGATCAACAAAATGCAAGAAGAAAAATGCTTTACATAATAAACAACATAAAGTCCAAAAGCCAATAGTTGGCATTGTACAGTTTGTTGTTGTTGGCTTTTTTCTTAACAAATGTCAAGATTCCAAGGGTTGATGTGCCAGCCACATGAAAACTGGTAGCCTCAGGTAATAGTGAAATTGAAGAACTTTGCACTGCTGAGAAGACACAGTGGTTTTTGGGTAAGAGTTAACATAGCATCTGCTATGAGCACCTGCATGTCAGAACTGTTGCCAAGAAAAGCATTCTAAAGCAAGAGAGGTTAACATAATAGTATCCTACAAAATGTAAATAGTTTAATTGGAATGTAACCGTACCAAACAAAAGATAATAATTTACAAATGTCAAATTTATATGTGAACAGTTTTTAAAGGAAAATTATCTATGCAGTGATCACAAAATTTACTTACTCTCAACCAGCCTTACATGAATCAGTGATAAGCAGGTTGCATATGGTATTTTAAGTGCATTTATACAGTGGTAATTCATTGTGCCTGCAAATCAGCATGTTTGAGCTTTGTCTCAGTGTTCTGAGCAGTTCTGATATTAGAAGCTCTGCAGCTACAGAATGTGTTTCAGCTTGCCTGTTCATGAGTGTTCTCTGCTTGACAAGTTTTGATGTTTTTCTGCAATCTGAGAAGCTCTTATCAATTAACATGTTCATTTCAGTGTGTCTCTGAGATATAGATGAGGATGATGGGTTTTTCATGGCATTTGATAAAGTTAATTAAACTGGGGCCTGCAGATCCTAGAAGAATAACTAAATAACTTTGCTTGTGTCTTCTGGAGTAAAAGCAACACAGGTATGGTGCAGAACCTAACTACTAGGGCTTACCTCCAGTTTTACACCTTCCAATTTTTTTGTCCATAGTCTTCATGATTCATGGCAGTTTGTGGAGCCTCCTTACATACAATTTATGCAGTCCATCAGAAACTAAGAATCCTATGTCCAGTTACAGCTTCCAAAAATTCAATGGCAAAGTCTATTCAGTGGGAAGGAGCTTGACCACCAGGTCTTAGCAAATTCCTAGTTTATTGTCAGCAATCATATCTCTTGCTACTCTTACTAAACGTAAATACAAAGAGATAGAGATCTACCTCTAAACAGTTGCACTTGGAAAATTAGAGACCAAGCTGAACAGATGTGTTTGAACACAAAGTCAAGCTATTCAAAAAACTTACAGTTGAGAATTCTGCCAAGTCTATAGTGTCTATACTAATACCATAAAAATGTGCAAAGTCTGTGATGTCTTAGGTTTTATGTGGAATGGAAAGGAAAGAAGAACAGTGTAGTCTTTACTTCAGAAATCTCCTAGGGTGTCTGGCAGTGAAATATAGTGACAGACTCACTCATTTCATAAACATTTATGAGAAATCTGGAGGGAGACAAATATAACAGGATCACGGAATGGTTGAGGGGGGAAGAGACCTCCAGAGGTCATCTGGTCCAACCCCCCTGCTTACCTACAGCCAGTTGCCCAGGATCACATCCAGTCAACTTTTTAATATTTCCAAGGAGGCCTTTGCAGCCTCTCTGGGCAGCCTGTGTCAGTGCTCTGTCACTCTCAGAGTAAAAAAGTGTTCCCTGATGTTCAAATGAAACCTTCTGTGTTTCACTTTGTGCCCATTGCCTCTTGTCCTGTCACTGGGCACCACTGAAAGAGCCTGGCTCCATCCTTTTTGTACCTCCCTTCAGGTATTTATAAACATTAATAAGATCCTCCCTCAGCCTTCTCTTTTCTGAGGTGAGCAGTCATGGCTCACTCAGCCTTTCCTCATAGGAGAGACACAGTACCTTAATTATATTTGTGGCCCTTCATTGGACTCTCTCCAGTATGTCCATGCCTCTTGTACTGGGGAGCCCAGAACTGGACGCAGTACTCCAGGTGTGGTCTCACCAGTGTTGAGTAGAGGGGTAGAATCATCTTCCTTGACTTGCTGGCAATACTGTGTCTAATGGAGCCCAGGATACCATTAGTCCTCTTTTTGCAAGGGCACACTGCCGGCTTATGTTCAACTGTCCTCACCACAACCCCCAGGTCCTTTTCTAACAAAGCTGCTTTATAGCTGGGTGGCCCCCAGCATATATTGGGTTCGGGACTTTGTACTTCTTGTTGAACTTAGTATGATTCCTGTCAGCCCATTTCTCCAGCCTGTTGAGGACCCTCTGGATGGCAGCACGACCCTCTGGTGTATCAACGACTCCTCCCACGTTAAATGGGACCAGATCCAGTATTGATCCCTGGGGTACACCACTTGTCACTGGTCTCCAACTAGATTTTGCACTGCTGATCACCACCCTCTGGGCCTGGCCATTGAGGCACTTTTCAGTCCACCTCACTGCCTGCTTCTCCAGTCCATAAATCAACAGCTTGTCCATGAGGATCTTACAGGGGACAGTGTCAAAGGCCTTGCTGAAGTCCAGGTAGAAAATATCCACTGTCCGTGGACATGTCCATATCTAAAATATCTAATGCAACTGGGAAAAGGACAGAGTTATTTGTCCTGTCACACTTCCTGTGAAAACAGAAACTGAATTTCATTCTGCCTGTCTAGCGCACTGGAGAGACAGCCTTCATCCCAAATAGAGGACACCATCTCACTTTAGAACCTAGAAGGTGGCACTGACCAACTTACTGCTTTCTTTGGTACCTCAAAAGAAGACAATGCCAGCATGCTTTATTAATTTGCTTCCTTGTGGCTGTTGCAATTTCTCAGAGGGAAAAATAAAATAATGTGTTATAAAACAACAGAGCTATGGTTGACAGAAAGACTAAGGGAACTTTAAAAGAGTAGGAAAAACATAAAATAAACAAATTTGGAACAAGATAGAGAATTAACATTTACTCTCTCTACCTTTAGGTGTTATGAATTAAAATCATGATAGCACATTTCTTTCTAGATTTAATAATTCCAATAAGTACTGCCTTGCTATTAGAAGCATTTCATGAAGATTCAATTGTCCTATCGTCATCAGATTTTAGTGCCATCAAGTAGAAGAAATGCTATCAAATTAATGAGGAAATCTTAAACACTGAATGGCACTAGCTGTTTCATAACGTCAGCATTTTCACTAACAAAATCGCCAACATTGAAAAGACGGTAAATTTAACCGATCATCATCATTAATGCTGTTTTATTTAATTTTCTCTTTGTTTGTTTCATTTTATATGTGTTCAGGCTGGCCAATGAACAGACTTGTTTGTCTGAATTTTTTTTATCTCCTGAAGCTCTATAAGGCGGAAAATTCAGGTCAGCCCTATTTTCACTGACTGTGAAAAAGAAAACAAGAAAAACTTTTCTGATAAATATTGATTTTTGTATTATTCTGTTTTTAAAACTTGTCTCTGAGGCCACAATTGGCTGACAATTTTCTGTTTTTCTGGAGGAAAACTTTGAGTTCAGAAAGTTTCTGCTGAAGTGGAATATCCAGTAGTGCATTGTAATTTTTGGCATGAGCTAGAGGCAGATATATTGAGGACATAGATGCAAAAGAAATTGAGTGGGATGATGATGGATAGGAGAGATCCACATGTAATAATTAGAGGTTCATGATATTCATACTAATTGTGGCAATGTATGAGGAAATTATATGAGTAGCTGGGCAGTCAGCGGGTTTCTAATCCTTCACATTTTGAATTTAATATAGTTCCCAACATAACTGTTTTGACAGTTGTGTCTGCACATATGTGTTCTTCATCAGAATTGTCCAGTTAAGCTCTTTGGTATTGCTCTATGTAAAAAACACAGTATTGGCCACAGACACAGTTACCCACAGTAGCTGTCTGCTCCCGTGCAGTATTGTGAAAGGGTTTCTAAAGAACGACAGCTTTAACTTTTCAGCCTCTGATTCCTTTTAAGGGACCTGAAGAGATAACTAAAAATTCAGTCTTGTACTCAGTATGTGTCAGTTTGTGACAGAAAGGACTGCATCTATACTTAAAACATTTCCCCGTATATGAAACAAAAAAGCATGAAAACACTGAACCAGAGCCTCCTGCACCACAGAAAGTACAAAACCTTGTTCTGTCTTTGAATTTCAATTGAGCTCTGTGCTGCAGAATGAGCAGCAGATTTATTTGCAATTATTAGGATGATTTAAGAACTGCTATTCACTTTAGCAAGCAGGAGTTATAATGCAACATATTCAGCCCAGCACAACACAGCCGTGAAGGTGGTTGATTGACTTCTGTTGCATATTTAGGGAACTTAGGAAAGCTGTTCCAGATTGAAGGAGGATAGCCGAGATTAACTAGAAAGCATCTAAATCACTTTGGCAGTTCCTTAAAGAAGGCATCCAGAAGTGCTGGCTCACAGGAAGGTGTCTTTTAAATTTGGAAGCTCTTATACATGGCCTTGAATTAAATCCAAACTAGACTCTGCTAACATGAAATTTCCATCCGAGGTAATACTCCCATAGCCCTACATCAAATTAAATTGTAGGTAAGTGACATTGTTAAGTAGTCTGGCTTGCAAATTTAGGTTTGATTAGAAAGAGAGTGGTAGTAAAATTAAGTAACTCTTCAGGAACAAATGAAGTACGTATTTATTTATTTGTGGTAAAATCTGAGGAAGAATAGTTTGAGACAGCTTCTCTTTCTGAGTGCAAAGAAAAATTACTCTGGAAACAAAAAGTGATAATGTTGTAACCAAGACATAAGACCAATATATTCTCTGTTGAAATAACAGTCAGCTCCCACACTGAAATCGGAGATCCCAAGTCCACTTCCATCA